GCCAAGGATAAGACCAAATAAAAACCGCATGACTTATTTTCCCCTAAAAGTTGATATTTTCAATTGAAAAAGCTTACCGCATGCTCAGACAGAAGAAGTTCAGTGACAGCATCATAATATACATTGAATGCTTTCCTAAAAGTTTTCTTTTGATCCGCTGTGATACCAAGGCCCTTAAAGAACTGTAGCAAATTGTCAACATATAAACCATGTCAAACCATAAACTTTCATTATCAAAACCAAAGCTACAAATAACCTAAATTCAAAATGAAAATCATAATATCTTTACAGAAATAAAACAAATGCAAATTTCGAGACATCTAAAGAGCAAAAAAGAGAGACAAACCTCATCTTGAATTTCATGACCAGAAATAGGAAGTCCTAGAAACACTCGCCCTTGTCGAGCAAAACTAGCAAGAAGAGTTAAATTTGTCTGACTAGCATCGCGATCCTTCAAGTGCTCTGTGCTAGTAAGATCCTTAATGATACTGATAAAAATACCATTTTCCTCTATAACTCCAACAAAGTACAGTTCCAGAATAAGTTTCAAAGTGCTACGCTTCTTCATTGCTTTCAAGTTCCTGTCTGCATCCAAATCATCCCCAGATTTTCCAGGAAAGAAGACTTTCAGGAGCCCTTGTATCAGACTTGGTGAGAAATCTTTGTACCTTTGATGAAGCAGAGAGCAGATCTTTGACAGATAGACAATAGCAAGTCACCAACAAACTTAAAATGGATAAATGGTTCAGTGTACAATAAAAAGCAAGCTAGGAAATATATAGACAATTAAAGTTGCAAATAAGTATATTCTTATATTACAGAGAAAAAATGTGAATAATCCATTTACACATTTACAAACTTTGAGCAAGCAACATCATCAGTCATAGCATATAAAGAGAACTCAACATTAAAGAACCACCAAACTTAACATGACACATGCAGATACAGATGTCACAGAAATGTACATCATTCATGATACCAAGAAATATATACCTATATCCATCAACATATTTGCAAACATTGAGCAAGTGACACTACCAAAAATGATGAGAAATCTATACAAGAAGAAACTGGGAAGGTTATAGACAATTGCAAACTAGAAATCCTGTTATACCTAACATAAACCAGGGCAGTTTAGTATATACTAATATAGTACATTTATATATGCACACAATAAACTAGGGCATATCATTACACACACACAACTTGACAAGGTGAAATACAAATAAGTTGATCACTAAAATAGTAAGAGGAACCAGACTATAGATCTTTGAACTGTGCAGAGAATAAACAATTTTCATATCTTATATAATTGAATCTTCATTAAAACTCAAGTCTGCTAGCAAAACATCAACAGGTGCAAATAAAAACATTGAAGGCGGTAAAAAATTACTCGATAAGCTACTACAACCCATTTGGAAGAAAAAGACTACATGTTCCTCTTTCTTATTTAAAATCAAAATTACCTACATGATTTTCAGCTGAAGAGAATATACGAAACTCTCACATTTCAAATCTAAACCAAATATGATAATAACATAGATCTTTTGTAAGACTATGTACTCGCAGCAAATTAACTGAGAAAATAACATGTATAACCATATAATCTAAATATACATTTACTAAAACATATAATCATACAATTGTTGGATCAAACTTATTCATGAAAGCTACCTGAACTGCGGCTTGTATATCCGAACTCTTAAGTTTGGCATCACAAATAGCAGAGACAGCTTCACTAACAAATTTATTTAAATTGACACTTCGCAGCTCCTCCATCAATCCTTCCTTCTGCTCTTCATTTATCTGCTTTAATTTTTTAATCACAGCTGTATTGCGCTTAATGCTAGAATCCAAAGTCCTGAGGAATACAGAATCTAAAACCACGGGTAAAAAATATTAACATCTACCTGACAGTTTTAAGCATCAATATCAGAAAAACTGAATTGGTGTTAAAAAAAAAGATTAAAATGCAAATGCTTCCATGGCAAGATAATATGGGCTGCTGTACAGGACCAGTACCAAGGTTAAGATGAATTAGAAAGAAAATCCATAAATATATATGTATAATGTATGAATGCAAATCTAGTATGGGCTTAAAATCACTATAAGATATACAAATCAAGTCGAAAAATTTAACCACTCCCATATTGAGCAATGGGCATATAAAAACTCTAAAATGTAGTAAAAATTACTAACCAGGCCTTTCAGGGTTCAAATTGGTTTGACGAAGAGCCATTTTGCACTCAATAGATTTCTTAATTTCCTCAAGGCGAGCAACGGCTTCCTGCAATTGGAAGCAAAAATATATAAGTCTATTGTATCAAAGTAATTTCTTATCAAGAAAAACACACTGAGAACAAGAACAAATGATCAAACAGTAAACCTTATTTCCATTCACGTGAAATTAACTAGGCCATTAATCTTACCTCATCGTCTTGTTTGCCATGTTGTTCAACTCCAGCCCGAGATTCATCTTCGTGATGATCCATCTCATCTATATGTAAACAAAATAATTTCCTATATAATACAACTGAATTATCAATAATCAAGAAACTCACGGTAAAATTATGAATAATTAGGAGCTAAACAGAACCTTCTAAAAGGGGTCTAACAACAGTTAAAGAAACAATACTTAAATAATAGCATTGAAAGAGAAAAAGAAAAAAGAGGCTAGTAGCAACAAAAAGGATCTTTTTAGGTTGTCCAGAATCATGCATTTCAAGATAGAAACCATATAAATAATCTCTCCTGCATGTCAAATATCACAATCTCATCCAGCATTTAAACTCCTAAGCTATGTTGCTCAAAACATTGTAGCCAACCCCATAACACGATAATTTATATTGGAATCAATTACCACGTTATAAATCCATGATTATCCAAGTTTTCAATTTTCTTGAAATATCTGTGTCCAACGCTCATGTCCGAATTGTAAGTGGACACGGGAATGTGGATATGATCCTCCAAGGACACTTAAAAACATGGAAATATTAGGAGAAAATATAACATATATGGGTCCAACACTAAAACGCGTTAGTCCAAGTAACTTTTTTAATCAAAAGTCCAAGTAACATGGTAATAAACTATAATACCCAAATTTCTAGCACAGAAATTGTGAAGAAAGACCCAAGATACAGAAGCACCAGGCCTATTTCACCGACTATGTCTCTACAAATAATATCATGTTTACATCAGAAAAATATTGGAAGAGCAAACCATTTTATAACCATTAAAAATACATGCACAAAACAATCAAGAGTACGGAATTCTAAAACCTCATTCCCCCTCTTTACCACTTCCCTCAATCTCAAACAACTAAAAATGTAAACAAAGGTCTCTTCTTCCACTCGTAATCACTTCTTTCCAAACGATTAAAAATCAACCAAATGAAAGAAAAAAAAAGAGAAAAAGATTCACATCTTCTTACTCACGACTTCACTAAACCAATTAAAAGTATTTAATAGTAACGATAACAATAAATCGTTAAAAAATCCAAATCATGGAATCGTTCTTCTCTGAAATCATTAAATTTAAATTTAAAAAAATAATAAAAACGATCTGATATTAAGAAAAAAAGGTTAAAATTTTCCGTAGATCTTATAGAGATGGAAAGAGAGAGTTAGGGTTTTACCTGAAACTTTGGGGAAGAAGCTAAGATTGATATGACGTAAAGAAAAGAGAGACGAATTAAAGGAAGGGAGGTGGGGTGTGAGGCATTTGAAGAAATCTTCTGAAACGAACCTGCATTATTTTCTGAAGAAGAACCGATAATTAATAATAATAAATAAATTAATAAACTGAAGCTTTTTCTCTTAAGGCATTCGAAATCGGGTATCGGGTCGCACTTGAATCCGTTTTGGAACTTTGTGGACCCGGCTTTAGCTTTTTCTCGAAACGATGCGTTCTGGGGGCACGTTTTGATTCGAGAGCTATTTTTATTTAAAATTAATAATAATAATTCAATAACTCTATTAAAAATATATTTAAATAAAAATATAATTTAGACTGAATCGATTATTAGCTTACGAATGATATAAAATATTAATTTTTTTAAAATTAAGAATTATAGTTTTAATATTTTGTATAAAAAGATTATTCTCAACTCTATTTCACGACCCATTACGAGTAGAAAATTCTATTAAAAATGTATTTAAATAAAAACTCGATACTCATTCCATCAAGAATTTTCATATTCAATTCCGTTCCAAAACCATTGTGGGTACAAAACTCAATTATCATGTCTTGCAACCTCAAGACTAAAATCATCTCATCCTACTACCCTCGTGTGTTTCAAAGTTCACCTAATACACGTTATACTCGTCTCACGATTCACTTCATATAATATATTTATGCGTATCACTCGAATAAATATAAATCAATTTTTATATGAAAATATTAAAATACATATTCTCTGGATTCACATCACATATATAATATTATTTCAATAATCACTATTGAAAAACCGTCATGCCCTTTGGAAAAGTAAAATCGTTATGTAATATTAAAAAATAAACAATGATGCCAGACGTGAGACGAGGCAAATACAAAATTATACCCACACCTGCATTAAGTCTAATTAGGTGCGTACCATCCTCATCTTATTAGGTGCAATGCAAAGTGGAACAAATCATGCAAGTCAACATCTATATTTAGATTTAATCAACTATTTACGTGTCTAATGAGATAAAATATTTAAAACCATATCATTATCAATGCAAAAAATTGAATTGAAATATCATACCCATGATATAAAACTACGTAACTAAATTTCAAAACTTAAAAAAAAAATCCCTCCATTGAAAATAAATTTACCATGTTATAAAAATAAAAGTCGGTTGAGTTTGAATAATTGTGATTTTATAGTTATAAATAGAAGAGTGAACCAAACCAACTTTCTTTTAATTATTACACAAAATGAGACCGAATCATAACATTACGGTTTAAATTGTTTTCTTTACAAAATATCAACACATAAAAAACTCGTACAAATATAAAAGAACAAAAGGGATGAACTTCATTTTCCCAAAAAAGGGGGGAACTTTCTTATATCAGTTCAATTGGTTTTGTTTATGCAACAAACAATTCACAATCTCTTCTTTGTTACAATCTAAGGTTTCCTTTGTTTCATCTAGGAATATTGATCGAAACACGACAACTTTTGAGTTCGATACCTGTTTCACACCCCGTCAATCTCGGTTTCGTCCAGGGTAGAAACATTCAACGACGTTTTCCTTGACCTTGAAGTGGAAATTACTAGCCTTGTTCCTACCCTTATTTGATACTGTCAACTGCAACATTCGATAAAATGTTGAGACTTGTGAGACCCTATTTCATCACTTTCTAATTACATCAACCAAAAGGAACTTCTAAGAAACAATGATATCTCCGATTATAGCCTATGTTGCTTGAAACTGTCAACTGCAACATGATATAAACATCGTGGCTTGCAAAACACGAAATTGTTACTTTAATTACGGAAATCAATAGTTAAAAATACAAGCAAAGGACTAATAATGTTTCCCTTCTTTATAGGAACTTCTATAATCAAGAAACAATGCCAACTACAATTATAGTCTATGTTATTCGAGGCCATGAACTGCAACATGATAGAAATGGCACAAACCATCCAAAAACTGAAAAAGAAATAACACGTCAATACCTGTCCATGCACATCGGCTGCTAAACCGGTAGCCAAAGGCTCCACCTTTATCAAAATGTCTGTATGGTACTCCATTTGTAACAAAAATGTACATCCATCTTCAATCGAATAAATATCCTCATGGTTGAGTGTGATTAATGAACAGTTCTAACAACAATAGTTCAACAAAAGGAGAAAATTTTTAAGAAAAGAGGGTGAAAGTAGACAAAATTTATGCTAATTAGATTTGAGTGTGAGTGCCAGATACAAGTAATGTCTTTTACTATGTATTTGGAGGATCCTTAGCAGATCAAATCCCCATATTCATTTCTCAATATGCATCGGACAGCGCGTATTGAACATCGGTATTTCAAGAATGATGAAAATTCAGAACAATATAAGACAAAATGAAGGAGTAAAAAGGCATTATCTTACAAACTCAGATGTTAGAGTGCGACAATAATGCAAGAAATCTAAGACATAATCTGAAGATCCTTTTGCAGCCACCTCCATAAGAGATAAATCATCTATGATAATGGAAACATTTTTCCGTCTAATCTCAGGCAAAGCTGAAATGGTTTTATGTGTTTTCCCATACAATGCAATGAGTCCACCTCCCGGAGTCATTCCTTCATCTCCAACTAATTAAACAAATTGAAAAACTTTTCCATCAGACAAAACCATAAGACCACAAACAGAAGAGTCATGCAGTCCGTGCACTATAGTCAAAATTGTAGTAGAACCGAGCAATTTAATCTTTGTACATTGGATGTTGGTGCAAATAAGTAAAATTAATAACAATATTGATGCTGTCATGAACTCTTGAAACTTAACAACAAAAACATGTAGACAGAACTATAGCAAATAAATGAATTTCTTAAATTGAAAACATAAATTTTCTCGAATTTCAACTCATATACTTTGTCAGATCTCAGAAATCCACAACAGCATTTAGAAGATTCTTCATTAACACAAAGCATATGCGAGCAGAAAGATTTGCAAGGACCATTTAATCAGATTTTTTTTCTCACCTGTGCACTGCAACTTAAGCATGTCAAAGAAAAAGAATCTACCATTATCCCTTTGTGATACCAAGTTGCATCCCTATTTCAACAAAAATAAATAATATTAACAGCATTTACAAAGTTTCCAAGAAAAGAAAATCTTTTTTTTAAATAAGCTGGGGCCTCGTTAAACATCCCCCTCCCCCAAATAATCGACATTGGTATGAAACTATCGCCTATCAGCAGAAGGGGAAAAAGAGTGCCCAAATAGTTTATTAAGGAAGCAAATATAACCGAGAACAAATTAATCCAGCATTACAGATACAAGTGATCCCCCAGGCAGCAAAACAAACCACACCATTAGACCAGCACCTCCTAAAGAAATAATTCTACTAAACCAACTACATGACAACTTATAGAAATACATCAGCAGAGCAACGGGGAACTTATACCCCATGCCTAACAGAAAGTGTGGACAAAGAAACCTAATCTGTTAGCTAAGAAAACACAGTATTCATATCTCACTTCGTATCCTCTCAGAAAAGTGGACCTGGGAACTTATACCTCATGCCTAACAAAAACCCTAATATCATTGATCCAAGACCTATGAATTCATTAAAAGGGTAACCAAACATCCAGGCGAATTACCGATGTTTGAACTCAGGTGTGAGTGTTGGATTCTAAGCTTTTCGTTTATTAAAAGGATCCTTGAAGGGTTGTATGATGATATAAATATCCATATATGAACTGAACACGAGTGTTGAAAACAATAAAAAAGGGTTAGAATCAATTACAATAGGAGGAAGAGACAATTAGATTGTAAGTTTAACAACCCCAGAAACTCAACTAGTCAAGCAAATAGTATCCAAGAAAATTTATTTCACTTTTTCATAATTTTTTATTCATAACCCAACACATAGAGTACCAAATTTTCACTAAATCTACCATCAAAAGAAACAAAAGAAAAACGAAAAAAGAAAACGGAAGTTAAAGTAATGGAGGAAAAGAATTGACCAGCTTTCGAAGAATACGATCGTAATGAGAGAAAGGCTGAGAGAAAGCGATGAGGACGGAAACATTTGAGGAATTTGGAGAAAGAGAGCGTTTAAGTAGATGGTGAAGAACGAATGAGCCACTGGTCTCGACTCGGTCTTCTATAGCCACTACTCGACCCCTTAGAGGCCATGGCTCGATGGCCTGGTCTAGCCCCAAGGCCTCATCGAGTAGGTTCGAAGATCTCTGGTTCATTGTATTTGGGAAATTTTGATTTTTAGAGGGAGACACGTTAGGGTTTCTAGGGGTTTTGAAAAGAATTTGCAAAATAGACCGTGGGATTGAATTTCTGGGCTAATACTTGGGCCCTCATATGGTTTTCAATTGGGCATTAAATTAAAATTTTAATAATAAAATTAAATCAGGATCAATATATTTTTTTAGAATAAATTATAAATTTATCGCTCAACTTTCTTCCTATTCTTATTTTAATCATTAAAATTTTTAAAAAATAATTTATTCACTTACTTTTAATTTACTCTTATTTTAGTGATTTTTTCATTAAAATACTTAACGATATTATAATTGGATACTTTTTATAAAAAAATCATAAAAGATAACCTCATTTTTCTTATTTTATTTGAAAATCCTATAATTTTATATTCTATTTGATTTCCCGATAATGAAATATCTTTTAAATATTAAGAGTGGAAAAATAAAGAAATGAGGAAACAAATTGTATATCTTAATTTCATATAAAGATATTGTATATCATAATGAATAAAATACCACAAATATATCATTGAATTCTTAGCTTTTTCAATTACATCAATATATATATATATATATTATTATGCACAATCTAAATAATTCTATCATATGTTTTGTGGATCTCTTTCTTAATACAAAATGAGAGGATAGTGAGTAAATGATAAGAGGTCTAAGCCCTTTAAGAGCTAGTATTTGCTGCTCCCGGAGACTCCACCGTTGCCTCGAATGGAAACCAGGGGTCTATAAGACGAGCCGTTGCTTATCAGATGGAAATCCAAAAACAAAACGATAACGGTTATATCATCGTGAAAATGTCTTCGCACTCCGCGGTCAATCTTTTTCAAGTCCGAATATCGCATTTCTCTCTTCTTCGCTGCTTCATGAAGAGCGGCTTCTATGAGTCTCCTTGCAATACCCTGCATAAACATCTCGTATGAGTTCACCCATAAACAACCTTATCATCAAAATATAGACGAGTTCTAAGTTTAACATGAAACCGATATATACTTCATGTTCATGGAGGAAAACGAAAAAAAAACGAAAACTAGTTCAGTAAGGACAAAGAAACCATTTTCAGTTGCATGCATTAAACATGTACTAGTTGACATGCAAAGAAGACAACCCTATTCAATCAATCATATAGTCAGAAAAATAACCCGAACCTGACTGGATTTTGACCCAGTCTGACCCTTGCAGACAATTTTCTTCATTTTGTAGTTGACATGCAAAGAGGACAGGCACACCAAATCCGTGTAACATAGGTTTAAAAACATCAAAATGAAAATCATGAAAAGAAAACTAACATTACGTGGACTCGTGTTCACAATGTCAACGGCCTCTTGATTGCTAAGGTGTTCCCATAGACCATCCGATGCGAATATAAGAAACTGATCTTCAGGACAGATTTTCTGTACTGATATTGCCGGCTCAGCTTGTAGGATCGGCTTCTCAAACGAGTTCGGAACTCTAAACTTTGGTAACAGAGGCTCTTTGTTGAATTCCGACTTCTTTAGATATGCATCGCCAATGGACCTTGAAATCTATCAAAAGAAAAACTTTTGGTCAATGGACAATTAATTCTGCACATGTTCATTGTGAGGGGCGAAACCACGAATTTTGTTTCGAGGCCAAGATAAAATTATAAAATTTTGGGGGCTAAAACAAAAAATTGTATTAAGAAGTCTTAAATTGAATTATTAATTTTTAAGAGGAGCCAAAATGCAATTTTTCTGTTTAATCAATGGCTAAAAAGGATTAGATTAAATGTTTAATCTCTGGGAGGGGCTAAATAAAAAATTTCCCACTTAACCAAGGGGTGCTTGCCCATAGCTTCGCCCCTGCTTGTTGTCTAGATAATCATACTGTTTCGACTATTTATTTTTCTTGAAATAATTGTATCAAACACCCATTATCGAGACATATTCGAATATGATTATGAGATTACGATTTACGAACCTCCAAATACATGGAAAATATTAAACATACTCGTATTCGATACTCACACCAAGGTCTAAGTAACATTGGTAGATCATGCTAATTCAAATGGCAATTCCTCTGAAATGTTCGTTCGAGTACGGATCCTATAGGAACATAAATTTACACAAAAAGATGTCGGTATGTGCTGCTTCGTTACTCGGATTTGGGTGTGAATGTCGGATGCGGGTATGTTCAAACTTTTCTAAGTTTCTCCATGTATTTGGAGGGTCATACCCTTAACTATGTCCGGATAGGGGCCAGGCATAGGTAACAGTGAAATAAAGAGTCTGAGTAATATATATATGCAGTAAAATAAACTCTATAACAGAGACTAGATGTCGGAATGAGAATGGAATTCACCGGTTTTCATCGATGTCCCGAGAAGAAATTACGGAAACAATAAACTATCAACAAAAGAAACATACAAACATCTCAAAGCCATGGAACTTACCTGTATTATACCCTTCACACGCCATACTTTGTGCTTGAGGACCACAATCTGTGGATCATCGGGATGTAACGATTGTAACTCCTCCCGTACAGATTCAAAACTTGCATTGTGCTCAGATGACAACTGAACTGCTTTGACCTCGTCAAAGGCTTTCTCCAGTCTGCCTAAAACAACTCGAGAATCTCCGGCATTTGCAATGTATAGCAATCCGCTACACACTATTCCTACCAAACAACACGAACCAACAGAAGCGAGTTGCGGCTTAATTTCCCACTGCTGTCTGACCAGAGCAAGAAATTCTTCTTCGGTATCTAAAAAAGCTTTGTTGATTACATCAGCCGACATTCCATGATTCTCGGTCATAAATCCTGCACCATTAATAGCTGTCAAAGTCAGTAGCATATAATTTAGCTATCAAAATCGGCAACTAAATCTCGAGAAGGAAATAAATATGATGTTTTACGAGAGGTAGGAGGCGGAGATCCAAATTTGACATTTGTCATCACCTCTAAATGATTGAGCCTCAAGCTGTCGATGACTTTCGAAACTTGTAAGGACTTTGTGGTAAGCTCGCGTTGCTTAAGAGTATATCATACTTTCTAAGTATCTTATAACTATAAAATACAAAGTTTTCCAATTAATCAATGGAAAGAAGCTGATAAATCACTCATTAAACATCATAAGCTATCCGAATTAATGTGACAAATAACAAATTGGGATACAATTGAGGAAAGAAGAGAAAGAATAACGTACTCTTGATATGGCTGAAAAGGTGTTCGTTTATAAACCTAGCGGTTTCCGGACCTCCGTGACCATCATAAATTCCAACAAATGTCCCATGGGGACCCGATTCAAACGAGCTGATTGGACCAGATTCAAGTTGGCTATGGTCTTCCAATAGATTGTTTGCTTGAATTACTGCCATTGAAAACTCACCCGCAACATGTTGTCCCAAGTCTTCGTACCACAACAACCCATCAACCCTACCATTACCAACTGCACCTCCACTAGAATTTTCACCCTCGACTGAAGGCTTCCAGCAAGGCAATACAATTCGCCTTAATGTCGTTGATACCATAACTTACATGTTCTTAACCGAATATGTGGCTTATAAAAGAGTCCGATAAACTGTTCTAAGTCAAGCTTAGTCAGATCTTAACTTCGATGGATGGGATATTCTATCCTACTTATTTACCGTGTGCTATAGGACTTATTGACACTTTTTACTATGATTCAATCTTTAACCCTTACGCAGGCAATAAGCATTCTCCAAGTTCCTAGTTCAAGTTTGAACAACAGATGAGTCTTGCAAAACGAATTCCTGGAATAAGAGCAGGATTCAGGGTCAACTCAGATTCGACTCAATGTCCGGAAAGCAGAAGTTTCAAAAATCAAACATCCATCGATAAATTCAGAGTTTCAGACAACGTAAATTTTCACAGTTGCAATAAACATTATCTAAACCCCTAATCTGAGTTCGACCTACAGCTAGGTCTTGAGAAGACAGATTCTGGGAAAAAGAGCTGGATTCAGCATCGGCTCAGATTCGACTCAATTTCCGGAAAATAGAAGTTTCAGAAATCAAACATACAACGATGAATTCAAACAACAATAATCTACAAAGTTGCAATAAAAATAAATTACAGAACCTTTCTTTTAATCCTAGAACCAGAAACATTCTTGACTAACACATAGACCCAATTTCGACTAACAATACTCGTTTTGGATACATATCCATGTCTAACACTCATACCCAAGTTCAAATAACATAGATTCTTGAGAAACATTAAAGATGGGCATTACTTTTGAAAAATCCAACAAACCATTAGAAATGACCTATTTTACTCAAACTCGTAGGTGAAAGTTTGATACGAGTATATCTACACATGACCTATTGTGCTCGAACTCATAAGTGAATGCTGGATACGAATGTGTTCTACACAAGTATATTTACACATGACCTATTTGACTCAAACTCGTAAGTGAATGCTGGATACGAATGTGTTTGATACGAGTATTATCTACACATGACCTATTGTACTCGAACTCATAAGTGAATGCTGTATACGAATGTGTTCTACACAAGTATATCTACATATGACCTATTTTACTCGAACTTGGGTGTGAAACACACACACACACATTTAAACTGCTCCATGGAAATTGGAAGGTAATATCCCTTACTTGTATCCGAACATGGGAGTCGGATAGAAGAACTTCAAGGAAAAACAGAGTTCCATTCAATAAATTGCTAAAACATAAATTCAGACAAATAAAAGGGAGAAAGATTCAAAAACTCGCATGACTATACCTTAAAAACATCAAATAAAATACAATAACTTGAACTCCACATTGCTAATCTCCAAATGCATTAAAACGGGGAAAACACATTAATTATGGAACATAAATACCACAAAAGAATTTTCCTATCAGAAATTCGATCTCTACCATGTTTATGGACTTAAATTCTTGAAATTCACCTCTCTAAGGGCATTAAAAAGGAATACAAATATAATCAAAGTTCTGGGAATTTCCAGAAATGGCAAAAAGGAGAAGAAAAAAAGCAATTCTCCGGAAAAAAACACATCACCTTAAAAGCATCAAGCAAAAAAAAGAAGAAAAAAAGAGAGGATGAAATGGGATTTTCTTCTTACATACCTTAGGAAACAGCGAAGACTTTCTTATAATCTGCTCAGTTGTAAAAACCCTGTTTAAGAACACCCCAAAGACCCTTAATTTGAAAGATTACATACAAAAATTAAACAAAAAGAAAGAAGGAAGGAAAAAAGGGGAATTGTTTTAAGACAAAACAAAAACAACAGAGAATCGAAAAAGGAAAGAGTTTTGAGGAGAAAAAAGGTTTCTTTTGTTTAACAAAACAAATTTTGTGCTTTTGGAACTATCGTTTAGCTTTATTGGCTGTAAGTGTTTTGACTTTGACTTTTTAGGTTTCCAACCTAAACCTATTAGGCAACTTTTACTCATCTAGCTTTCTCTATTTTTAGCAAAATAAAGAAATTAAAGTTAATTTTGTTAAATTTTCTTTTCTGTTTTAATATAATATTGTAATTTAATTTTAAAATTATTATAATAATTATTCTATTATCAAATTTTTTCTATTCACAAATTCATAATAGGATTTAGATAATGTTTAAAGTACTTAATAAATCATTCCACTAAATCAATTGATAATTGATTATTTTTATTTACTTAATTTAATCATTTGAATTAATAAAAGTAATTTTTAATATATATATATGATAAATTATATTTGTGATCATTTAACTATAGAAAATTTTAATTTGACTACATATTTTTTTTTAATTTTATCAGTCAGTCTATCTAACTATTTAAACGAAGTGAATCAAAACATCTAACGCTAATATTTGCAAAAAAACTAAGTTGACAGTTAATAAAATTGGTATAATCATACATTTAATCCTTATTATTTGCACATTATGTTTAGAGGACTAGATTCAAATAATACTAACTTTAATAGAATGTGCGAATGATAGATGTTAAATGTATAATTATATTAATTTTATTAATTATTAAGTCAACTCTTCCATCAAATATTAATAACATTTGACTTAATTGATATTATTATTTTTAAATAAATTATTGATATTATTTAAATAGTTAAATAATCATATTCATACAATTAAAAAATAATAATCATCATATTAAAATATTCTCATAGTTAATTCATTATGAGTGTAATTTATCGACAAATATATTATTAATAAACACTAATAAATAATAGTGTAAAGTACACAAATAATTTTTCGATTATAAGATACTATTTTATTGAATCATTCGACCATTAGAAGTTATAAAATGATATTCCAACTATAGGACATTACTTTGTTGAGTCCCTCGACTATTAATAATTACAAAATAGTTACCCTACTATTCATTATATTTCAAATAGGTACTTTTTTGTTAAAAGTTTAACGATCGTTTTAGTCGAACAATAATATGCTAACTGAGATATGATAAAATCTGATTTTATAATCTCAAACAACTATCATATCTCAATCAATGTATTAACGTCCAACTCAACAACTACAACAACAACAACAAAACCCTATTCTCATATGCAATGGAGTAAGGGGGAGGTAGGTTAGTAGGCTGCCCCAACACCAGGTTGAGAGTAGCTTCAGTGGAAGACCTCCGGCAGTCAGAAAATTAAAAATAAAGATAAAATACAATGCATGTATAAATAAATAAATAAATACATAGTTGAACAGTCTTCATATGCAGTCATTCATATGTGCGTCTGTAATGGGAAGTAATCCCTGCAAATAAATCTCTGCCTAAAAATCTCTACATATACACATAAACGTAAGTCCCGACTAAATTTAAAAGGAGGAAACATGAAGAGAAGGATTCACAGAAGTCAGCGATAGCAAGCTACGAGAAGGAATAAAGTCAAAATGGATTAAAACCTAAACTAAGGCAACACTACTATGCTACCCTAGTTCTAAGCCTTCATAAATTCCAATGACAGAAACGTATAAAAAAGTAGAGGTCATGGAAATTACAACAAAGACAATTAAAAATAAGATAGAGATGCTACACCCTATGGCTGTTGACTCACACTACTCGGATACCCTGGTCTTAAGTCTTCATACTTTCTTATCAGAGGTCATGTCCTCGGTAATGGATAAATCCTTCAAATCATATCTCAAGCAGTCTACCCACTTCCTCCTTGGTCATCCTCTCATTCTGGCACCATCGACTGTAATCGACTCTACCTTCCTGACCGCATCCGACGGTTGTCGCCTAAGGACATGCCCAAACCACCGTAGTCTTCCCTCCCTCAATTTTTCTGATACAGGCACCACCCCCAAAGACATCCTAATAGCAGAGTTTGGTGCCATGTCCCACAGAGTCCTACCACATGCCCATCGAAGCATTCTCATTTCTGCGGCCTTCATCCTCATTACGTGATCCTTCTTGATTGCCCAACATTCTGATCCATACAGCAACGCTGGTCTTATTGCCATTCTATAAAATTTTCCCTTGAGTTTTAAAGGCACCTTCTTGTCACAAAAAACTCCAATAGCAGCTCCACTTTAGCCATCCCGCCTTTATTCGGTGTGTAAAGTCATCATCTACACCCCCATCTTTATGTATCATAGACCCTATGTACTTGAAACAATCCTTTGAGGGGAGAACGTGTCCTTCGATGCATACTTCTACATCTTCATCGTTTTGGTTCCCACTGAAGTTTGAACATAAATACTATGTCTTTTCAATATTGATCCTTAGACCTTTTTCTTCCAAAGCAGTCTTCAAGGTAGCAAGTCTACTATTCAACTCATTTTTTGTTTCAGCAACTAGGACAATGTCGTCAGCGAAAAGCATACACCATGGAACACCGTCTGGTGTCGCACAATAGATGTCGTCCATAATCAAGGCGAAGATGTAAGGGCTAAGAGTCGACTCCTGATGGAGTCCAATTTCCACCGGGAAAGCCTCGGTGTCGCCAACTGTAGTCTTGACGTATGTAGTAGATCTACAGTACTTATCACGAATCGCCCGGATATAAGCAGTTGGGATCCGTCTCGTTTCCAAGGTCTTCCAGATCGTATCGCGGAGCACGCTATCATACGCCTTCTCAAGGTCAATGAACGCCATGTGAAGATCTCTATTTTTCCCCTATATTTCTCCATAAGCCGTCGAAGTAGATGAATCGCCTCCGTAATAGACCTACCTGGCATAAAGCCAAATTGGTTTTCCGAAACCCTAGATGGCCATTATTATTTTAACAGAAAATGACGAATTTGGAATATAATGAATAGTCATATGACCATTTTGTAACTTTAAATAGTTGAGGGACTCAATAAAATAATACCTTTTAGTTAGGTGGCATTTTATAATTTTTAATGGTCGATAGACTCAAAAAATAATATTCTATAGTCAGGAGTCATTTATGTACTTTACCTTAAATTCTAACATTTTAAAATTAATAGAAATTATAAGAGCTCTTTTTTTGAACTGATGATTAAATTCAGATGGAGTAAAAACATAAAAGATCATCTATATAATTTATTCTAAAAGTATCTAAATATTTATTATTTAAATACTGAATTTTATTGCTTGAATAAATAAAACTGCATGATTTTTTAGTTGATAAGTACGAGTAAAATCACAATACGTAGGAATAATCATACTTTATAATTAGTATATATTTAAGAATTTGTTAAAAAAGAGTGAACATCTAAGGATAAATTTAAACAAAATCCAAATGTTATTTATATAAAATATAACACGTACACAAATTTAATCTAAGAATAAATTTAAACAAAATCTACATGTTATTTAGAAATATAACTCCAACACAAATTCAGTCTTATATTTATATTTAAATTTGAGTAAATTCGAATAACATAATGTATGATTATCATAGCCGAATTCTCAACTATAATCATTACACGATTAAAAAAACAATTAAATTTTAAATAACTTCGATATTAAAATAGATAGACATAGCATTACACTTTACACCATCTATTTCAACAACTAGACACCTAAAAGAATAGAGGACAGTATAAACACTTACTTTTTAAAATAAAACTAACAAAAATTCATTTTCAATTATTGCAGAAGTAATGACGTAATAATTCAGACATAGAATAATTTTGTAATGATAATATAAAAGAGGTCATTTACAGAAATAGACTTCAATTAATCTTAAAAGTGCTTAATCTTTCATAACACAACTTATCCATCAAAATATATATTAAGTTCTCAAAAGTTCTAGCAAACACAGATTGTAACCAAGTCCTACCATTCAAACCACTGCAGCTTAATTTGACTCGCTTCGTCTCGGAGAAGCATGATTATCGTCGTCTTCATCATTGTAAATCGGGCTTCGGTCCTCCCTAGGGGGTGGGCTGGGGCTGGGGCTGGGGCTGCGGCCATTTTCCTTTGTGGACCTATATGGCCTGTCCTCGGCATCAGCTTCACGATCTGAAGTTCTGCTCCGTCCCCTGGGACTCGCACTGTAATCCGAACCATTGGCATGTCCGTGATCCCTTGGGGATGGGCTACGCCTCTCTTGTGGACTTCTTTCATCGAGAGGTGGACTCTGCTTCCTCCCTCGGGCTGGGGAGGGGATTCTTTCACCGCGCGCTGGACTCTGCTTCCTCCCTCGGGTTGGGGACGGAGACCGCCTGTGGCTCTTGGGACTCCTTGATCTTCTATCATCACGCTCGAAACTCCTTTCTCGCTTCACAGGTGATCTTGACCTACTGTAGAAGGTCGAGAGATTCAACACAAAAAGAATGAGCCCGACAGCCTACAAGACCAAAACAATTTGCGTATCTCAACCAGAACCTTGGCGCAGACAAAGCTAAATACAAACCTGTCACTACGGCCCCGGCTGTAACTGCGGCTTCTGCTTCGACCGCGTCGAGGACTAGGCGATCGTGAGTAACTACGCGGTCTACGGCTGCAACAATAAAATAAATAAAATTGCCTCCCAAGTACACAAAATATAAGGTTTTTAAATGATTGAAATAACACTACTATTTTCAGCAAACTGGTCAGAACAACAAAAAGAGGATTTTGAAGGGAAATGACCTCAGCTTCTTTGGACTATTTTGACAATCTCTTTCTATGTGGCCTCGTTCCCCACAGCGATAACACTTATTCTTCCAATCCCCGGCTTTGCAATCACGAGCCCAATGACCATCAATTCCACAATTGAAGCAGCGGCCAGAGCCAGGAGTAGGACCTCTTCCAGCATGATCACGAGATCCACCAGGGCCATGGGGCACCTACATTGCAATTCGAATTAGATTCAATGTACAAACACAAATGAGTCAAGTCTAGGACGACAATGAGAAAGAGGAATGACACTAGGAATACCATTCTGCATTCGAGACAAGTTTAACACTTTTTTCCCACAAGCAATCTTCTTATACTTTAGTTTCTAAAAAAGAGACCGAGTGGCAACAATGATATTCTAATGCCTGGTTACATAAAAGGCTTTTAATCTCTTTCTTCCAGGTAGCAGCTATTTACACTTATTAGTTGATTTAAACATCAAACTCATGATCTTTAAGCATATACATGGGATTATCAGTTTATTGTTTAAATCAACTAATAAGTGTAAATAGCTGCTGCCTGGAAGAAAGAGATTAAAAGCCTTTTATGTAACCAGGCATTAGAATGATCTTTAAGCATATACATGGGATTATCAGTTTATTACCAAACCACAAGCATCTTATATTTTGCTGCTTTAATTATATCTATAGGTCTACATTGTCCGATTTCAGAACTCCACATCAGCATTTAGACATATTACTAGCACCCTAAGCAGCAACAGAACTGAACATGCAAACTTTTATGTGTCACACAGTCCAAAAATCAGAAGGCATTAGGAAAATGAATAATTAAAAACATTAACCAAATAAAATTAAATTTCTCATTCGGTTTCATATAGCATCCACTGCCTTCTAGAAAACTTATGGCAGTGAGGTTATCATAAAACTTACTCCCTTGGCAAATTCCACAATGATACGGCTTCCATCTAGGTCTCGACCATTCAATGAATATCTTGCATCATCAGCATCTCTAGGGTCACTGAATTCCTGTTATCAAGGAGGCAGACAAAAACACACACAGAACGAACAAAAAAAAAAGATCCAAAGAAAAAGATCATATTTTCAATATATGGTGAAGAAATTATAGATAACAAAGAAGAGATTTTTCAGTTTAAGTTGGAAGAGATTTGAAATACATACGACGAATGCATAGTCTCGCTTCATATCCACATCACGTACTCTGCGCAAACGGGTGCCACAAACAGTAAGGCCATCATGACACAATTATCGAAGGGTTGATAGTTCGCCCCTCACAGATGAACCAAAAACACCCACTTTTGAGATTGTTGCCATTTCGATAAAAACACGCAATAACACTATAGAAAGACTCGCCAAATCCACCAAGGTCACCCTCTCACCATAGACCTCCAGGTTATGGCAAAAGCCAAGGGACCTTCAACAAGATCATTCGAGTTAAACCAGACCGACTCGTGGAGGGCTGCAACATTCTCACTCATATTCTAATAGGACCAGGGGTCATGCTCTACATTAAGGGCTTTGGCAATGAGACTATTTTCTCCTACATCATTGTCCCTACACCCTGAGCCTATCCTAATGGCCTTCAATGCAAAAGAATAGAACCATGAATACTCAAACTAAGAAAAAAACTTGAACAAGTATGCCAAATGAAACACAGTTTTAGACCAGTCTAATAAGTAGGATAAATTTAAGACTCTTCAACATAGCAAAAAGATTCCGTTACCTCCCATATCGGCTAAACATGTCCTCTAGATCACGTGATCTTGTTCTTGAGGACAAGTGACCAACATAAAGGCGAGTGCCACCACGGCGATCATCATACCTAGGCATTTTTTTCCTTTCCCTGCATTAACATTTGCCATTAGAACACTGAGCGAAAAAAGGCACACAACTTTACATGATAAAACACTCCAATCATCATTAATGACATCAACAATCTACTTTATGCTCATGTCACCTTAAAGTTCACGCTTTTGCTTCCATCATAGAACAGATAATACAAATAGATTTTCAATTTAACGGACAACCAAAATGTAATAAAAACTCTAACATGAACCTTCAATATATTAATAAAATCATGTATATCCAAATGCACACAAAATTCAAGTATGGAAAGCTAATAATCAAACAATATCTAAACAAACCCATAGTTCATGTTATCTTTTATTATGGATGTCATAAATACACAATGAAAATAAATAAATATAAGCTGCAAAAGAAACAAATCTGAGGAAGGGATTTAAATTTTCGGCTCTCAATTCTAACAGGCTAAAGCATCAAATCCATAGATCTTTAAATTACTATGACAAGTCATAAGAAAAAATATATGAAAAAAGAGGGAATTTAAATTTTAAAAAGTACAAGCTCGACGATTATTCAGATCTATAAAAAAAAATAAAGAAGTTAGAGACGTAAGAGAATGAAAATTCAAAATCAAATGGGAACTAAAAAACAAAATAATTAAATAAAAAATAGAAAAAAAGAAGAAAAAGCTAACGATTAAATTTCAGAGGAGAGAGGCGAGGAAGGAAAAGATGAAAAACCCTAGACCATTTATAGGGGCCTTAAGCCCCGAAGATAAGGATCATTCAACGCTGAAAAATCAGAGGACGAGTAATTACAAAAAGACCCCTATCTGGAATGACAGTCATAGGCTTGATGCAAAAGGATAATATAAAACTAATCTCAATATTGATCCAAATAATCATTTTTCACGTTTATTTTTTTAGAGTGTTTCAATTTAAATATTTTATTTTATGAATAAAGAATTTTATTAGGTAAAAATCATTAATTAATTAAAAAGCGATATATATTATGTTTAATTAATGATATAACATGTATCATGTTATCTTCTTGAGTAAAATAGTATATATCATGTCATTACTTTAGTAACATGACATATGACATGTCAACAATTATATACAGAAAAAAATATCATATTAATATTATAGGTTGATCGTTGGTCAATTAATAAGTTTACATTATCTCAATTAAATTTACCGCATGAATTAGATAACTAGATTATATATTTAAAAATAACATTAGATAGATTATTAATACAATATTGTTAAAACACATTAAATATTAAAATTATATTTATATATAAATAGTATTATTTAAATATTAAATAAAAATATTTAATAAATTTACATCTTAAATGGTTAATCATTAAATTAAATGTATGCAATAAATAGATAAATATGTATTATACTCAAATGAACACTGACTGGAATGTATTGTTGTTGATTGTTTTTATCTGATGAGAAATATGAATATATAATCTCAAAATAGATTATTATTCTAATAGTAATATTTTCTTCTGCATCACTGTTAGATGAGACCTTAGAATTTGATCTGAACAATAAAAGAAATTATTCTCTAAAATTTTGAGTTCAAACACATTTATATTTACAAGATATTTAGAAAATCGATGATTAAAATAGATATTTGACCAAAGAAAGATCATTTGACCCATAAAAAGGACATAAATTGAAAAGGTATTTAATAGTCGGAAGAGTAATTATAATATTTGAAGTCTATGGACCATTGTTGTTACATGTAGAACTGGCGATTTAGCCAAAACTATTGATAATACGATACTTAAATTCGACCTAAATCCGACCATTCAATAAACAGGAGTCGAAGTGATTCAGAACGATGATCAAACAAAGGGGCTTCGATGAAGTAGTTCTTAATACCAACAATTCATATGATTAGAGAAAATCCGAACTCTTTCCGTTCAACTTGACATTCTTTCTCTAAGAAGATCAAAAATCATTCTCAGAAAAATTAACCACAAGGTCCCAGTAATGGCCGACACCGGCATCTGCAAATACCTTTCTCGCAGCTGCTTCGGTGATGCACTCGTGAACTGAGAACCTGCTGAAACTTGATTTCGCAACACTACCTTGCCAAACTAGCACACACTTGTTAGGCGGTTTATCTTCATCTTCATTTCCGTCTTCGTTCTCGTTTACAGATTCAGCCCAATTGATTCGTCGAAGCATAAGCTTCCCGTACCTCTTAATGGATTTGCTTCCACCTTCCACGACTACAAGACTAATGCCCTCGGAGATCACTGCACAACCAGTCAAACGGTTTTCTTGGGCATTAACATCAACTTTGAAGCGGGTCTTGGGATGTGAGAGGTCATTGATCCTGTAAACCGAAACGATTGTCTCCACCGTACTTGGGTCGTCAAAAAGCTTTCTCTCTTTCTTTTCACGGCGCTCAGCAGGGGTAAGCTTGCGAGCAATGTTTCTATCAACATGAGCCTGTTCCCGCACAGCAGCAGCACTTCGGATTTCCATTTCAAGCTTAGTTGGATCTTGGGTAGCTTCAGAGCCTAAAACTTTCATTAAATTGCTCAACTTAACTTTCGGCTTCGGAGGTTCTATCAGGCCTTGTCTGATCATCTCCTGTTTATCCTTTTCCCGGGCCAGACGTCTCTGAGTCCGAAGTTTCTTCTGCTCCTTCTTGGTTAGCTTCAGGGGCTGAGGTGGTGGCGGAGCTGGCTCAGCAGGGGGCTCAATTGGACGAGGATGCTCAACATAAATCGTGATCTTCTCCTTCTTCAGTTTATCTTCACTTAGCACACCATCAGCAATGTCATCGTAGGAGCCCAAGACCAGAATAGGCAAATCCCTGAAATATACCAAAAACAATAAGAAAAAGGTAACGTAAAAGAATGAAATAACCTAGCAGTTGTAATTTATGTTGCTCCAACTATGACTAATTTTTAAAAAGCACCCGTGTCAAACACATTCAAATATAGATATGCAAATATGGTCCAATGACCCACAAATAAAAAGGAAAAATTTATTTAAAAAAAACAATAGGCATACCTTTACCCGATAGTTGTACACAGATCCGAATGACATAGATTGTAATGCTTCCTTTTAGAATTTTTAATATGGAAATTACATATGATGCCACCTTTTAGAATTTTTAATATGGAAATTACATATGATGCCAAAAGTAAATGCAAAGTTTTTTGGCTTTAAACATGGCGAAGGGGCACACCTTAACTCTCAGATTGAATATTGACAACATAATCAAGAAGGCAAGAGTTCTGAACATATGTTTACATCTTAAGCAGAAAGTACAACAAAAACAATCATTACAAAGAATTGTATTTTGAGCAATAAATATATCTTCCTCGTAATACCCAGCTGAAGGATTTTTCGGGTTTAATTTGATGACATGTTGAATCAAAAAAAGCCTACCAAGTGATGGAATTAATTAAAGGTATGCAAACTTAAAGTTATATGATAATGAGAGGAATATCAACTTACCACCACTCTACTTCAGGAATCGGGTCTTTTGGTTTCTCCTTCTTTATAATTCTTTCCGACACCTCAATTAAATTGGGATTTATATCAGCCTTCACCTTTGCCAATTGTGCTTGCTTTGCTTTTAGCTCTTTTGCTTTTGCTTCTCCAAATTGACTCTGTAATAAATAGACAATAATCACAAAACCAGAAAAACTGATGGAAGAATCAAAGAAATAAAAACAAAAATAATACCTTCAATTTGATGATCTCTGCATCCTTTGACCATTTTCCTTCCTCTACAAACTGAAAAGTCATCCTTTTTGGTCTAATAAGTTTATTCTTATCGATTCCCATCCGCGCATCAAAATGTGGATTATCTTCCAGATCCACCTCCAGCTCAGGTTTAAGGATCTGGAATGCATCTTTCTTTTGCTTGTTAATGTTGACCTGAAAAGTCAGATGGTTCAAGTTAAATAACAGCCTTGAAAGTAACACAAATAGCACTGAAATAAGAAAATAACAATGATTGTACCAAGAGTACAAATTTCACAAACCTTGAGGGTGCTAAGATTACTTGGTTTAGTCACGTTTATGATATTACCATGTTCATCAATTTCCCTACCAAGTGCATCAACACGTAGAACAGGTGCCTTGGTAGGTTTCTGAGGAACTGGAACATCTACTTGCACCTGTCCAGGAAACAAGTTTATTAGAGGAGCAAACTGAGGGTCATGGCGGAATCCCATCTTAGCAGCCAGCTCTTGAGCACGCTTAACAGCTTCTAAATTGGGTATTGATGCAAGGCCCGGAACAGCAGCCATGCCGGTAGTAGGTGGCATTGAAGAAGCAATAGGTGCAGAGGCAGGAGAGGCTGATGAGACTTGTCCCTGAACTGTTCCACTAGTCACTACTGAACTTGAGCTAGGGCCTTTGTTCAACTACACATTACAATACCAATGCAACATGATTAGTTTTAATTTAGAACTGGGGAATTTTTTCCTTTTTGAAAAGAAAGATGAACTTACGGCGGGTATCTTCTTCATTTTCTCGGCTAATTCTTTCTGCATTTGTAAAGCCTTTTTTGCTTTGGCTAAAGCATCAAGAGAGAAATTTGCACTTTTCCCAGTAGATGAAGAGACATCTGTACTAGATCCAGTAACCTCATGAGATCCGGTAACACTATATGCTTTATTTTCAGCAGTAGAAATTGAAGATACCTTGGTAGGAGGATGGTGATCAGTCTTCGGCAATGATGCCTGAGCAGCACCCTTCAGGCAGGGAAAAAAGTAAATTACATCAACATACAAACTTACAATTTCGGCAATATGATAAAACTTTAGATCGATTTTAAACTAGCATAATATCAACATAACTCCATTGAGATCAGATGCCATCCTACATTTCAGTTCAAATGATATTGTGCATTATTATACATTTCATATCTCATACTATCATGTGATGTTATTAGCTAATATCTAAGTTATGCTTAAGTTAGTGTGTATATAGTAAAAAATAGTGAAACATTAATAATAGGACAACAGAAGACAGGTAAATTTCTTGAAAGTTCATCAAAGCTAGGTTATTCAAACTCAGATGTGAATGACAGACATTAGTATGTGTCATGAGTATATTAATTTTTTCCATGTATCCAAAGGGTCAATATGCATCAAACATGGTGCAGATACTTCAAGAAAAATGAGAGAATAAAGTCATATATAATGTTATGGACTTCTATTTACTACAAGCCTCAAATTAGCTGCAAATATAAGAAGGCGACAACTATGACTCCTCCAGCCATAAGCCAATGAAACTGGAAGTCCAAGGAAAGAACTAGGAAAAATAAATTCTGATAAACAAGGTCAAAAACTTATGTAATAAGTACCAACTCAACAAACTGAATACCATAATGCAACAATCCACTCAAGTTGGGAGTAGCCATTTGAAAAAAATGCATATTATCAAGGAATTTTGATGTTCAAATCGGTGCATTTAAATAGTATACACAACATGACATTACAGCCGCTATTTTTTTGGTTTTGGATCTCTCTCCACTAGTGAAATTCACAGCCAACATTTATCACAATAGACTGAAACAACATTTATCATGACATCTCATAGATAATATCCATTGAAAACCCAGAAAACAACATAAAATCAAAGAAACAAGATTAAACTTCCTACCCTGAAACATTATGAAAATACTCATTCCAAATAAATAAAAATCCAAGAGAAACTTCAATAGATTCAGATTAGATTACTAACAATAAAGCAATAAAGTTAGTTTTCAACCAAAGTTGTTATATTTGCTATTTAGTTTAAATATTTTTTTCTCTATTTCATAAGAAAAATGATATAGAAAACAAAATCATATTAAATTCTGAATCATAACAAGCTTAGTCTTAGACTCTTTAAATTTGTCACTAGTTATTGAATTGAACTTCCAGTTTCCCAACAACCAAGAAAACAATAAAAAGCAACTATCGCAAAGATAAAACTAACAATAAAAAAAGAATTCAAAGACTCACATTGTGAACTGGATCACCACCATTGGCGCCATTGGATAACTCAATTTCATCGTCTTCTTTAGCCTTATCCCCAAACCTCCTCCTCTCTCTCTTTTCCCTTCTGTTTTCTTCTCCAAGTCTACTCCTCTTCTCCCCTCTCTCCTCACTCTCTTCTCTCTCCTTCCTCTTTTTCTTCGCTTCAACTTCTTCATATGAATCCTCACGGTGCTTCCTATCTCTCGAATCCTCCCTCTCGAAGGATCTCTCGCGCTCGTCACGGCGTGATGCGGAAGATCTATGGTCCGATCGGCGGTAGGAGTCGCGGTCGTCGTGGTGGCGATCGGAGTCACGGTGGTGCCTGCCGTCACGGTCTCGGGACCGTTTGGATGCGTGTTTATCTTTGGCCATTGTTTTTTAGGGTTAGGGATTTTCGGTTTGGGTTTTAGGGTCTCTTTACTCGCACTCGGCTCAGGATTTTTTTAATATTTTTTTAGGGAAAAAATATAAATTGATATCTCATCTCATCTCATCTTTGGAATACGACACCGTTTCAATAGCTGTCCGGTCTACATGCCATCCAGTTCATTTTGCAACATCATGGGTTGGACCGAATTGGACTACAGTCTATACGTTTAATTGTTGAGATAGAGTAACATTTAATTTACGAATTTATTTTTTTGTTCATATTAATTTTAGGGTTTTTCAAATTGATCCTTAAGTCTAGATTTTAAGTTCCTAATATCATCACAAAAATATTGCATTTCAGGACTTTTAATCTTTCCCATCATTGGTGTCTATCATTTACGGCATAAATGATATCTTCTTTTCAATACAGTTTTTTCTTAAAATCGATAAACTCATGTCAAAGTTTGACTTTATCTTGTACGGCATAAATGATATCTGAATATTTTTTCCTTTTTTTGAATTTAGGCTTTTTCTTGAAATCGACAAATTCATGTCAAAGTTTTGATTTATCTTGATCCATATTTCAACCTCTACCGTCTGATCAACATAATCAAGACATATTAATTTCTTCTTCCTACGCAACTTCCTCTCCATTCAGATTTAGATGAAAATACTTCAACGTCGATAAATCAAAAGAAATCCAAAAATACAAGTTTGAGATGAAAGTTTCAAGAAATTTTTGTATAAATTTATCCAAAAAATAAATAGTGTTAAAAAACTTTAACAGACGAGTGATCAAAACTAATGAAATTAAAAATAATAATGATAAAATTTAAAAAGTTTAAAGTTAAATGACAAAAAGTATAAACACGAATAAAGTTAAGTGACCAAATAGAACCACTAGTAAAATTGAGTGACAAAAAAATAGTTTAACCATTAAATAAAACACAAACTCCAATTCGTTGATAGTCGTGAATTTTTTTATTCCAACTAGTACTTATCATTGCAAAATAAGCATGTATTGTACTAATAGTACAGTTTAATCATAGCAAAAGTTAATCATTCAGACATTTCAAGGCCAGTGTTTTTTTTAATAGATACTGACACTATTGATGAATTAAGAACATACGAGTGATTCGAATCCGATAAACCGGGTGACTTGTGATAAAGCCAGGCGGAATGAAATCCACAGAGCAGTGTTTACGAGTGTTAGCTCCGAGAAATCTCGAGCCATATTCAAGCTCTGATATTCTAGGCATGATAACCGTTGCATCGTTAATGAAAGATCACCTTTAGAAAGCTTGAACATCGACTTATGGACCGAAACTCCCGCCATCAGCCATATTCGGCACTCTTCTTTCTTCATTAACTAAGTCCCAGATTAGTTGATGGAATTGCTTTTACCTTGCAAACCATGGCCATGAACATAGGGTGTACCGGGTGCAATACTACCTACCAGGCAGATGCCAATAGCTATTATCCTTACATCGGGTCTCATTTCTAACATTCATCTTCCGTTTTTTCCCTTTTGCAGCGGAAGCTATAGATTCGAGCGTACTAGAGGGCATAAATCCTATCGACTTCGACTTCCGAATTAGTGAAGTCCGAATGAAGCAAAGAGTTGGATCCACTTCTCCTTGAATTCTTTCCCCTCTTCCTTCTAGTCCTCATCGATTTCACCACATAATAAGTCATGGTGCCAAGAACCCCGGCCATTATCAGACCCCCTACGACAGTAACCAAAATTGCAGCCCACTCATGTTTCCGGCCAACCACTATATACGAGGAGGCCATAAAGGCAACTGAAGTACAGACAGAAGCCAACCACATCAACTTGTTAATCACTACCACCACCTGTTTCTCGGCTTTGGTTTCACCTCGAACCAATGTAATTTGAACGACAACAACGGCCAAAGAGGTGAAGAGGGCAATAGCATTGAAGATGAAGAAGATTTTGAAAGAACTCGAGCTTACCACCACCGCAACTCCGCTATTTTCATCTCCTCCAGGCACAGTAAATATAGCCGCAAAAGCAACCGTTGCAAATAGAACGGCTACCACAGTCACAGAATTCGTGGCGTTATTGATTCCTTCTCGGTGGAGTTTTCTAAGTTCCTTGGAGATATTATGAACATTTTTGTTGGTTCTTTTGGTTTGTTCAAGCTGTGTATGGACATCTTTCTTAATTTGCGTCACCGTCTGCCTCAATTCGTCTCTCGGTTGATTCAGTTCATTAGCTCTGAGAGCACCTTTGTGAGAAAGGCAGCTCTTTATTTCTGTGGATTCTTCAGAGAGTGGAAGCCCTTCCGCTATGTCAAGAGCCGTTTTATGGTCTCTTGTGAGTGCATTAACGTTCGTATCAGGAAGGGACAACAACACATCTACGATCTGCAAGGAAATATTCATTGATACGAAACTGTTTCGTAAAAAATTGTGAGGAATGTTAATATATTTTGCTTTGGAATTTGATGCAAGTGTTGGATATGGCTATACGCACAACACAGATATGTTCATTATTTTCCGAGGTTTTCCATGTATCTGGAGGATCTTTGAGGATCATATCCTCGTATCATGTTCAAATATGTGCCAGATACAAGTACTTCAAGGAAAATAAAGTCTCAGAGCAACATAGTAGGAAAAACAAGTTTCTACCTCTATAGCCAGAATCGAAAATGGAGTGAATAGTTGTACCTCTGCTCTCTTTTTCCGAGTGGCTACATGTAGTGCGGTGTTCCCAAACTTGTCCGGGAGCATCACAATAGCAGCATCTGCCTCGAGAAGCAACTTCACCACCTCACAGCTCTGTCCTTTAACAGCCATGTGCAATGCCGTCTGTCCTTTCTTGTCGGTTCTTCTTGCCAACTGCGGATCTTTGCTCAGCAATGCTTTTACGACATCTACATGCCCCTGTCGAGCGGCTAGATGTAATGCATTTTTCCCATTTGACCTCGTACGCTCTAACAAGCCACCATCTCTCAATAGCAGCTCATTGACAACCGCAGTATGCCCTTTGGTGGCTGCAGAGACAAGAGGGGTTGCATTCGACGGCCCAAATGTTTGGCATAGACCAGGATCATGATCTAGTAGCATCTGGACAATACCTGCAAGGATCAGACGGTCATTTTTTCCAGCCTAGAATCTACGTAAAACAACTGAAACAGGAGCACAGACTCAGCGACTCCACAACTGGCCTGTAAAAAAAAAAACTAATAACAAAGGTATTTACATATTAACTATTTTCTCCATATCATATATGAACAATATGTTGACAGATTGTTCCGAAGGTTGAAAGAGGATGGTGCATAATCATTCTTATTTCTCAATGAAAACAGATGACGATAAGCAATTCACAACATCAGCATGACAATATCGAATATGTTGTCTTTACACAAACCTCGGTTAACAGTCAAATTTATTCAACAGACTTTGACACTGACTTGAACCAGTATTTTTACTATATGTCATCTTTGCAAGAAATCAACTAACCAATTGAAATCAAATAACAGCACAAGAAAAATCACAAAACGAAAGCTAAGGATCATTACCATGGTGCCCTTGGCTTGCAGCAATATGCAACGGATCAAACCCAGATTTATTCTTCTTAATAACGGTCTCTTTGTTCGAGTATTTTAGCAACTCTTTGACAACATCGAGGTGCCCTTTCTCCGCAGCAGTAAACAAGGCGGTCTCTCCCAACTCATTTACCTCGTTCACCACACTTGCCTGTATCTCCGACACCTCCATATTGAAATCTTCCCCACTCGCAGTCCTCATCATCTGCGAATCTATGTCGGCAAGAATCTGCTTCACGGCTGCCAAATCACCACGCTGTGCTGCCAAGTGCAGCTCAGTGTCATTATGGCGTCCAGTTACCTGCTTCACGTATTTCTTTTTGCTAGCCTGATCAATTCGCTTGCCAGAGTTTGACAGGACCAGAGCAGGGGCTGTTACTGACGACGGGGATGGCGTTGCCGAGGGTTCTCCAGTACCTGAACTGGAACTGGTGAGACTACTGGACATTCGGTCAATCTGCTTGTTAGAATTCGATAGTATCAACGCTGGGGCCGTTGCTATAGACGAGGGTGATGGTGTTGCTGAGTGGTCTGTAACAGTGGAACTGCAACTGGTGAGGCTACTTCCCATCCTATCAATTCGCTTGTTTGAATTCGATAGGATCAAAGCCGGAGCCGGCACTGTTACAGCTGAGGACGGTGATAGTATCGGCGAAGCTTCCATGCCAGAATTATGACCCGGATGTGAACTCACAAGTCCTTTCTCCAGATCTATATCTCCACCTTTACAATCAACAATCAATAACTAATCAATAAAATTATTAAACTAATCACAATTTTTTTCATAATCCTCAACCCCATGACCAAAATTTAGATGATTTGATTTTTCAGCTCCTATCATTATCAATGAACCAATTACAACTCCAATATCTTCATCTTAAAACCTAATTTCAAACCAAAAGTACCACAAAAAATAAAAAATAAAGAACCCTAATTCTCAATATTTCTTCAAAACTAAGCTACAATGGATCTAGATATAAACTAAGGCACAATTTAAGCTAAAAATTCAATTAAAAAACAGATAAGTCAGCTGAACTAAGCTGATTTAGTATTTTTTTCTTCTTCAAAATAACCCATTAAATATTTTTGAAGAAAGAATCAAAAAGTGAATCTTTAAGCTAAAGGATCAAACTTTACAACAAAAAATAATGAAAAAGTATGTACATAAATTAAAGAGAAATCGTATTGGAAATTTACAAATGGGTCAAAGGACAGTCAACAGTGTTACCTTCTTGGGTTGAAGATGAAGCCATGGGTGAAGAAGAGAGAAGCACAAGGTGAGAAGAAAATAGGAAGAAATGCTGGGAATAATTATTTATTTTAAAATGAAAAACAAAAGTGAATATGAGAAAGGACAAAAGAAGAAAGAGGAGAAAGTTCAAAGAAAAAGAGAAAAGAGACGGTGGAGGTTGGCTAAGGAAGAAGGAAAGTGTTTGGAATTTTCCTTCACTAATATAATCAATATTAAAATGAATTAATTATATCATATCTCCTCAAATTATAATTCCCATTTTAAATT